GAATTTTATTGAAACACAGTTTTCAAGAACCAGCTCCTTCTCTAGTGACTTGCCACAGTATTAAGTTGCTTGAAGTTCTCGTGAGAAATCGTGACCAGTGGAGCGCATCAGGTTAGGTGTGGGGACAAATGAATCATCCATGACACTGGCTTGTGATCAATCTAAAATCACAAATAGGCAGAAGGTGGAATTCACGAACCATTGGTTAGATCTTGGTGACCTAATGGCCCACGAAATTGTCTTGTAACCGAGAGGTCCTGGGTTTGCACCCTGGTAGATGCGTACTGCTGAAGAATCGATACAGTTGTTGAGTTGAGTTATTTTTCTGATTAATATACCCATATAACAATTCATTTCACCTGTGGAAATTGGCTTTCATCTTTTTTAAATTAGAAGTTAATCAATAGTATGCTACTTCAAACATCTGAATTTAAATTCAAATCTTGATCACCATTAAGCGTATGTCATTTGCATCCTATTGCATCTTTTATTATATTACCCGTTGAAATGCACCTTTAAATGTCTAATTCTCTTTTATTAATGAAATATATCGACAAAATGATGGGTTCATTAATAAGCCCGTTGCCGTAGATTTCTTCACGTCAAAATGACTAACAACTATAAGTTTTACAAGAGATAAGTGAATGATACTTCCATTGTCTCCATTAATGAGGAGAATTCAGAAGACATCCTGGATTTTTTCGACAACTGCCACCAGCATTCCATTTCACATTAGAGAAGGGGTCTGACTCAAAAATATCTTTTCTGACGTTCAGCAAGACGTGAACAAGATGGAGCACTCAAAAATATCGATTAACAGAAAGCCGATATAGAACGGACATCCACTTACTTCCATAGTTGGGAGCCACAGAATCACCAGCATTATAGAAGAGGAGCTGAACTCTGTGAAAACGGCTACTTGGAAATTCATGAAGCCTACGCTAATAACACCTACCACACCTTCTGTTCCTAAAGGACTTCTCTACTTGAATCTGTGATTCAATCGAGACCCATTGTCAAAAATACTGAAGAACCACCACAAAACCAATGATTCTCGTGAACCTAAAGGATAAACTATCACTGCTGGTCTCATCAGTGTGTATCCATCAATTCATCTTCACGTGTGATATGTTAGCCGTACTTAACTTTTTCTATCTAAGTGTGTCATAGTTTTATAAAGGAGAAAAGCGATCTCCCTGCACCTCTGCCCTGAAATATATGATCAAGTCTGGACACCAAGTGAACTCAAAAACCAACTTCAAAAACATCTACAGAATAGGTGAAAATCTTGCTAAAGCGTACAAATCAATCTCCTTCAAAACGCAGGAGTTATGACAATTTACATGCTGAACTGCAAACTCTGCATGCAACAGTTTTTTTTTCAGTCACAAATCTACAACAGATCTGATGTGTCTTAACATTTGATGCGTAATTTTTGGTTGTTTTTTAAGTCCTAATATCCTCTTCCCTCACCATTAATGTAAGTACAGAACTTGGGTACTGTAGTAGAATGTAATTCCGTTTTTGAAATAGACTTATCTAATTTAGAGTTCTTCCTTCATCTCCTATAAAAATTTCCACCTCTTATTATCATGTATTGATCAAATCGCCACTCTACGGATCATCATTGAACAAAGCTTGGAATGGCAGTCACCTCTCTACTCACTCAACTTCATCGACTTTGAAAAGGCCTTCGACAGCGTCGATCGAGAGGTCATTCGGCAACTACTTCGCTACTAAGGGGTCCCATCGACAATTATACTTCTCATCCAACAGCTATACGACAATGCTGCATGCCAAGTAATCCACAACGGGAAACTTACGGAGGCCTTCAAAGTAAGGACGGGAGTGCGACAAGGCTGTCTACTATCACCAATGATCTTCCTGATTGCAACTGATTGGATAATGCGACAGACAACGGCAACCAACGAGGGAACAGGCATAAAATGGACTCACACAAAAGACTTGGAGGATCTGGATTTCGCCGATGATATATGTCTGATTTCCCATAAACTGGAAGATATGCAAGTGAAAAGTAACAAGTTGGCAGAAGAAGCATCAAAGATAGGACTTCACGTGAACATAGATAAAACAGAGGTAATGAAGATTCCTAGCCAACATCAACAACACACAACAGACCACAATCAGCATAAATGGGAGGAACCTGAAAGAAACAACCTCCTTCACCTACCTGGGAAGCATCGTCTCAACTACAGGCGGAACTGACGAGGATATCAAAGCCAGAATCGGAAAAGCAAGACAAGCTTTCATTACTCTCAAATCTGTGTGGAGGTCAACAGCACTCAGCATCAAAAATAAGATCCGGATTTTCAACTCCAATGTGAAGTCAGTGAGACTACTATACGGATCAGAGACTTGGCGAGTCATAAAGAGCATCTCAAACAAACTACAGACCTTCATTAACAACTGTCTTCGCTCAATACTCAAGATCAGATGGCCAGAAAAGATCAGCAACAGGGATCTCTGGGAGCGAACCAATCAGGAACCGATTGTGAAACAAATAGGCAGAAAGAAATGGAGATGGATTGGCCATACGCTGAGGAAACCATCAAGTGACATCACTAGACAAGCATTGCTCGAGTGGAACCCGAAAGGGAGGCGGCGAGTTGGTCGTCCAAGGGTGACTTGGAGGAGGTCATGCGAGGAGGAGATGAAAGCATGTGGACAGACCTGGAGCGAGGGTGAAAAAGTTGTCAGAAAACCGAAGGTAATGGAGGTGCGCAGCTGAAGCCCTATATTCCTCTAGGAACTAAAGGATACAATAATAATAATAATATTATCACTGTTATCAACTTTACTCTCGTTCAATCTTAGTTGAATTTTACTCACACTATTAAATCACACTATTCAGTCTACTTATTTAATTGCAGTTTAGTTTCTACTCGACTAACGCTTTTTATACTACGCAATTTGTTATCTAAAGTTTACAATTCTAATGACACGTTTTTGGAAATATCCCTTTTCTTATTAAGACAGTTTACTATATATGCGCGATAATGTTCAGCTTGAGAAAGAAACCGTTTAAAAAAAGTAATTCTTTGCTGAACGTTTTTTTTTCTCGTTTAAACGACTCAACAGGGATATTTTAATTTTCTTATATCACCACTTCAAATAAAGATTTTTCGTATTTATGTCAGAAAGCAGGTATTGCATCATATCTGAATAAAGCAGGAACAACAGTTTGTACAGAACAAGATGGGAAAATCGTATATATTTCGTTGGCGTCTAATCACCACCGTCGAGAACAATTTTAACATACTTGCAAATAGTACATGATGTCAGGTAACAGAAGGCTCCAGACTTAATGAACAGTGTTCATAAATATCAACTTATATAGTTTTCACTGACAGTTCGAGTCTAAACAAAAATAAATATATGCATACGGGGGTAAAAGAGTTACGTATAAAGGCAATAGGTAAGTAAAATTATGAGTAACTAATAAGTTAAGTAACAAAGTAGTGAGTTCACAAACGAAATATCTTGCAATGACTGTAAGTGAGGTCAACTAAATAGATCAAACTGGTAGATCAGGAGTAGTCAGATGGTTGGAACATAGACATTTAGCCAAGGTTAGAATGATTCATCTCACGAAGATAAGTAATTTAGAAAAAAACTCAGTAATAACACTAAACGCATTAACACACAACCACACAATAGGGTGGTTGGGACGGAGTCCAAATTCTATAAAGTAATAGAGGTAGATCGAGAGAGAGAGAGAGAGACAGATTGACTTCTGAATTCTGGTTCATCTAGTGTGCACTCAACACATGCAATAGAAGTGACTCAACGCAAATAACAGAGATATGGAAGATATTACTACCAGTTAAATCACTTTTACATTATAGCATCTTATTTCTCATCTTATTATATTTCAGTGATAACACTAATATCATTTCCGAAAGTACTTTATCCTATATTGATTTTATTCAAATGTCTAATCATCAGTTTTACTCATGAATATAAATGAAGCAAGATCGATGTGTGAGTAGTGCCTTGAAACAATTATAAGCAACAATTTGCTCTCGAAACGTGGTCATCAGTAAATACTACTCTACAACACATTTCGTAATTTTATCAAAATAAAATTTTATTCACAATGGAGTTATACTCTATGACAGTGCCCAAGTTTTATCCTTATATCAGTAGTGAGTTCAACTCAAATCGTTACGGCAGGAGACAAGGAAAGTTATACTGTATAAAAGGAAGAGAGGTTAAAGCCATAGATTACATAATCAACTAAAAGAGGAGGTAATAGCAACCAGTTACCAGGATAAGGAAAGACTGGTAACTTTCTGCTTCTTTCTGAATACATAAACTATTTTGTCTATTGATAATCGTAAAGGACTTTCCCATGTCCATTTCATGACCCGTCTTGATGAGATATTTGGCAATGGCTTTATTGGAAGCATTTATTTTCTTGAGACGTAAGCTTCTAGGTACATTTTATTTATTTATTTATTTATTCATTTTTGATTACAGCTTGATTCTACACTGTATTTTCGGTACAAGTATGAAATTTTCAGCATGTGATATCGGTAGCTCAAATTTTCCAGGCCGAACATAGATATCAGGTGTGCGTTGGCAGGGGATTGAACCTCGGACTATGTGCATGGTCGGCGAGAGTCCTAACCACTGTGCCACCGACGCATGTTCAGAAAATCAGACGTGTGCCCTTCTTTTTCCTCGCCCTATGTAACTGTTACCCCAGGTACATGTAAATTTGTACACACTGTCAGAGTTAACAAAAGAAGGGTATCTTATGACTTTTGATTACACCAAAGAGTATGATTTTTGATAATATTCATAAATTTTTTGACTGAAAGAGAAAGTTATTGCAAAAAAGGCTTAGTTATCCACTAAGACACCTAATATCTTTCTTTTTTCGCCTAGAAATAATGTAAATGTGAATAGAATTGAATTACTTACTCTCTCTCTCTCTCATGTCCTGCGCTGTTTTTTCCTTTCTTCTTTCTTTACAGGTACAAAAATTGATTCAACTAATCCTAAAGAAAAATTGATTATCATATGCTTATATGTTGCCATCGGTTTGTCAGTATTTGCAATGTGTTTCAAATTAATGCAAGAAGAAGTTGTGGATAAAATGAAATGGTTTGCCTTTCGAATTGGTATATTAAAAAAGAAAGAGACTAACGAGACAACAGATAAATCATTTTATCCTATGAGTAGGAATTAGATGAATATTTGATAAATTATGAAATGAAATGAAACGATGATGACTGATAATAATAAGATGACGATAATAATAATAATAAATGACAAGAATTAAAAAAACTATTGAATTTGCAATCAACAGCGCACATGTGTTGTCATTTATTTCCTGAGAAATGTGAATATCTTCAACAAAGACACCTCCTTCTGTCTCCCTCTCTCTCTCTCTGTCTTCTATACACACACCTACACACCTACAAATACACAAAGACTTAGAGCAATTGCATTTATAGCGCATTTCAGGACATGAAATATTACCACTATTCTGTAAGACTTTTACTTATTATTTTACAGTGAAAAATAAAACAATTTATAAATGATTGTACATAGAAAATATTTAGTTAATACAGATACATTATTATTATTATTATTATGCTACATATGACTTCTTTTGGCTTCTGAGTGGAATGTAGGACTTCAACAACACATCAGCATTTCGTCTGGTTTTCTGGGGTGCTCGTCAGCTGGCTATACGATTGCCAATAAGCTTTCATCTCCTGCTTATATGATATCCTCCTTGTCATTCTCAGACCAAAGTCCAACTCGGTTCCGCCGGATGGCCTGGCCTGCACAAAATGTCCCCCGATAGTATCCCCAGTATGTCTCCGATCCATTTACACTTTCTTCCACAGATGTTTGTTAAGCATCAGATTCTTGATTGCTCAGTCCCCAGAGTTTTGTTGTGGATCACATTCTGATCTTCAATATGGAGCAAAGGCAACCGTTCATATAGAAGAAGTGACTTACTTAGCATTCATGCTGGAAATCTGAGTTTCGTTCTTTATGCTGAGTGAAGAAGATTTCCGAATTGATTTCAGAGTGATGTAGGTCTGTTTAACCTCTCTTGTCTACCTGTTGTCGAAACGATTCCGTCTAGAACAGTAAAGGAACTGACCTCCTTCAAATTTCTCCCACTGATAGTGATTGGTGCTTCTTGTTGTTATTGGTGGTGGTCATGGCTAGTTATCTTCATCACCTACATTTTCTTCATTTTCACTTGGATTCTAATATTCGCTACTTGAATCTTATGCCAGCTGGTTGATTTTCGTCTGTTGATCTTCCACTTTGTGTGAAATTATATGTGAATCACCCGCGAAGTCTTCTTATATGTGCAGTGTATTCCTGTGTTATCTCTACCGACGCATAATCCAGCCAGCCTTGTCTTACTCCTGTCATCACTTTGAATGCATCACCGAATTCTCCGTTGTAAATCACTTGACATGTGCTGTTGTCACATGGCTGTTGAATAAGGTAGAACTCCATAAATAAATATACACTTATACCATTTTCAGCAATAAGTATTATTATTATTATATTATTATTGATTCCTTTAATTCCTAAAGGAACAGAAGGCTTCAAACGCACGTCTCCATTGCGTTTGGTTCTCCGCCAACGTTTTCATCACCTGGCTCCGAGTCTGTCCACATGCTTTGATCTCCTCTTCACATGACCTCTTCCATGTCACCTCCAGACAACCAACTTGCCGCTTTCCGTTCGGGTTCCACTCGAGCGATGGCCTGTCTTGTGATGTCATTTGATGGTTTGTTTTCTCAGAATACGGCCAGTCCACCTCCATTTCTTCCTGCATATTTATTGCATAATTGGTTCCTGATAGGCTGGTTCGTTCATTGCCAGAGATCCCTACTTTCTGGTGATCTTTTCTAGCCGACCATCTGGTGCTGGATATTGACCACATACAGCTATTGATAAAGGTCTGTAGTATCTTTGAAGTGCACTTTGTGACGCGGCGCGGCGCCAATTCTCTGATTCGTATAGTAGCACTGACTTCACACTGGAGTCGAAAATCCGGATCTTATTTTCATTTTCATGCTGAGTCAATCCTATTGATCACCACACAGACATGTGAGTGTAATTAAAGCTTGCCTTGCTTTCCTGATCTTTGCTATGACATCCTCATCACTTCCGTTCGTCTGTAGTTGAAACTATGCTTCCCAGTTAAGTAAAGGAGGTTGCTTCTTTCAGATTTCTCCCATTTATGCTGGCTGATTGTTGTCTGTTGTTGTTGAGGTTGTTGCTGTTGGCCAGGAATCTTGATCACCTCTGTTTCCTCTAAGTTCACCTGAAGTCCTATAGGCAATAAATATAGATTATTAAAAAGATTGTTGCGGCGAATAAAATTTTCTTCTCGACGAAGTCATCAACTGGGCTGTACATTCGTGTGTTTATATTACATGTGTGAGAAAGTTCTAGAATTATTTCCGGTTAGATTAAATATACAAATACAGATTAAAAAGAGTTATTCGCATAGATAGTGGAAAGAAAGCCCAACAAAATAGCTGTAGCCAGACTTCTACTTTCTATCCAAATCCCATAAGGTTAACCGATAGTGTGAGTTGAGAATGACCTCTTTTGAGAAGTTTCTAATCTTATCATCAGATATATCACGAAAATGTAGAGGTGGAAATCCATGAGCCATTGGATCGTGTTCCAGTGGATGAATCGCCTACGAACTCACTCTCGCACCCTCGAAGTGCATGTCGCTGAACAGCTCCAAACAAAGGCGAAACAATCGTCCAATACTCCCTGATTCTCAAGGAGCTTTTTAACCAATATCACCGGTAAATCTTTCATTCCTGTACAGTGGTAGTAAACTCTTCGAACTTTAAATAACTTGGCAGAAGAATATTCTGCTTATAGGCAAAAGTAAATTGCTGGTTACGAATATTAATTTCAATTTGTAAAGCCTTTTACTGTGATCACTAGTTAGTTGACTTGTTTACACACTCTAAAAATTAATTCACCGATAGTTGAATTGATCAAGGGGATTAGCACCTGTTCTGCTTTACTTTCTTGAGTTTTTGTGAACTCGCCTTACTGTTTCTCATCAACTACAACCAGACATGTGCAGTTTTGTGTTTTAAATTGCGTATAAGCCGCTACAGTTTGACTGGATGTAGGGTGTAGATTCGTATTCATTTCAATCGAAATTCTGTCCAACTGTAAACTGAGAGCGAGGATTTATCTTCTCTGAAAGGTACTTTTTCATTTCTTAAATAGCAAGTCAACGAATTTTTAACTAGTTTTTCTGTATAACTAATTACATTCTGCAAGTTAGTGAAATTGTGTTTACATAAGCGAAGTCATGTACAAATACGGAACTGTATTCAAACATTTATCTCATATCATCTGAACGCATATTTTAAGTTCTCAAATCTGTTAGCAATAACTCTGGTTTGAGTGAATTATATAAGTCCTAAGGTAAAAAATAGTAAATGCGTTTGTGAAATTGGGTGTACAGGATTCAGTGTTCGCCATATGGATCAAAGCAGTACATGAGTAACAGTTTGAGTGATTGAAAATGAAAGGTTAGGCACAAGGATTCATCTAAGGATCAGTTAGAAGTAAAATGTCTTCAAGAATGGTTTCATATGACAATATATGCCTCATTAAGTGGATATCAAACTGATTTCGACAATCTCAAAATACACAAAATACATATTCAAGCGTTGGTTCGCAGAGATTTTATTGGTTACAGCATTTCATCATGAAGTACTGGAGGTTAGAGAACCAGCTGGGAGTACTGGACAGCTTTTTCTTCCTCCTTCTTTTGGGACTCTTCACAGTATGCCCCTACTGGGTCTCGAACCCTGGATCTTCCGGTTACAAGGCCAGCTTGTAGGCCGTAAGGCCACAGGGAGCTGATCCAGTGACCCGTCCATGAGTTCCAACTTCTACCAGTTCATGATATATCCTGACCACTAGCCAATCTCATCGGCGAATATTCGTCCTTACACATGCTTTGCAACCAGAAGGTCCTGGGTTCAAACCCTGGCTGTGGGTGCGTGCTGTGAGGAGTCCTAAAGAAGGAGGACGAAACAGCTGTCCAGTACTCCTAGGTGGTTTCCCAGTGGTCCTCTAACCGATGTCAGTTCATGATGAAATCCTGAAATAAAATACATACATCAACCTATAAAATCTTGCGTACTTTAAGTGGGATGTTCAAGAATATGACATGTTCTAAGGCCTCAAACAATGATTATATTGCTGAACTTATTATAAAGAAATATGACTTCTTATACAACAAGTAACACACATATTCACATACACATTTTTACGAATGCAACATTTCAGTAACAACTTAGAACAGTTATTGGTATACATGATGACTAATCACTTCCCATCAGCATCTAAAAACATACATTTACTAAAAACTGATCTTCATATGTCAGTTCGTTTTATTGCATAGTAACTGACGATATATGATATGAAACCCAAGTCAGTCTCCTCAAAAAGCTACTGCCAACACGATGAAACTTTCAGCAAAATCTTGTTTTGATTTTCTGAACACCCCAGGATTCTTTCAAACAATTTTGAAAGCTATTCGGGTTTCAAAGAGTGAATTGGGAATACTCAAATATATTTCAATTTTGGTTACGGATTGATATCACTTAGAGAACCACTTAAAACTCAGAAACGAGGACAAACATTAACTGTGGTCATACTAAAATCATGAATTGGTTAACGTTAGAATTCACAGACAATTGAGTCAAGTCCTAGGGGCTAAATGGACTATGAGCTTCCCTATGGTGAGAGCAGGCCGTGAGAAAATATGTACAAGGCTGATTCAACAGCCAATCACACCAGACTTAACGTGGCAAAATATGATTCGCAGATAGAGAACTCTATTTTTTAAAGAATCCCGAAACAACCAATCAGAAGCCTGCGTTTGTCTACTTGCATAAGCTATAATAATGTATATATATAAATACGTGTTGATTTTCGTAATAAAACGATCTGTTGCCTGGCCCTTGTCTTCTGTTGTTACATCCCTTGTAACCGAAAGGTCCTGCGTTCAAAACCCAATGGGTACACAGTGGCTGTAAGTCCCGAAGTAGGGGGAAACAACTGCTCAGTACTTTCTGCTGGTTCTCAATGCTTCTCTAACCGATGTCACCCCGTGGTCAAACTTGACACAAATCAAATCCCTACAAACAAACTCTTGAA